CAAGAGCCTTTCAACGCTCCAGGAGGGAATGAGCCTGTCTCTTATACACATCTAGATGTGTATAAGAGACAGGCCGTACGTATGGTCCGTATGACCGCCTGGGGGGCCGTACGTATGGATGTACGACTGCCTGGGGGGCCGTACGTATGGATGTACGGCCGTACGTACCCCCCGTATCCGTACGGGGGGCAACATAGGCGAGGTCCTAGGACTCGTTTACTTATTTATTTATGGATGGACGTAATCTGTCAGATGCATCCACGTCTGGCCGTAATTGGAGTCCGATGCATTTTGAAAACTGAGGCCCGGAATCGCTCAACATCTCAACCCGAAATTCCTGGGGGCAATACCCAGTTTAGGCTTTGCTGGAGACCGGCGGGTCCACTGTCCCACGTATGGCAACTTCAACCAAAGGAAGAAAATTGCAACTGGACTAAGGGCATTGCCGCACGGCACACAAACGAAAAACGAAACAAATGTATCGGCCCCCAGAAAATGGCCAGGTTCATCCATTTGCTATAAATAGTAACGAGTGTATTTTGCCACCTTTGGTGGGAAGATGCACTCATTTCGTTTTCGTTTCGTGTGCCGTGTGGCGAGACCCTAACAAATTCCAAAAACAGAAGTAAGAGTGGCAAGTTGGCAAGCACTAAGCCAACTAATCTGTTACCCTGCTATTCTTTTCTTATTCTGTTTTTTTTTTATTATTTTTTATTTTATTTTATTTTATTTATAAGTATCCTGCTATTCTGACTGGGAGCCTTACCCAGCTTCGCTTAAAAATATTACAGAAAAGAGGACAGCTCTTCTTTTCTTTTCTTTTCTTTTTTTCTCTTTTTGAAAAGGGGACAGTTCGCAAAATACTTCCAATGAAGAAATCTTGCCTACATTGGCAGGAGACGAACGCTTAATGTGAATAGTCAAGAGACGACAAATACGCAATGATCTAAAGCGAACTACAGAGTTCTATCTGGAGCAAGTGATTTGGAGAATTCCGAAGAAAGATCCACCAAACAGAAGAAGCAAAGCCAAAACCAAAGGAGAGGCCCGTCAGAGCAGCTAATAGCCGCATA